TGTGATTGAGCAGATATACCAGGATATACCAGCTTTTACGGATATTTTCACCGAAGAGTCGTTTTACATGTTCGCCTTTTGTTTTGTTTGTGCTACTATTTTGGTAGCCTTCATATTATCCAGGTTCATTACTCTAAAACCAGTTGAAATATAAAATAGTACATATATATAAATTTCTTAAGTAAAAGTATTTTTTATGTAATATGGAAATCGTCTTTTTTGGTAGAAATCAGACAGAAATAATGAGATGTTAGAAAGTTCTTCATAGCGTCTGCTATCCAGTGGATTTTTTTTCCCTAACAATGTCGCTGCATAAATAAATAAAAAAAATACTGGGCGTTAACGTTTTTTTTATTTGTTTAATTATCTACCGGACACTGTCCTCACAGATAAGCAGGAAATAAATGACACGTTATACAAAAATAGTCATAATATTTATACACACGGGATAACAACAACATATGTGTAAATTATTTGAAAATAAAATAATCATTGATATTAATTTTAAAACGTTCTCTACATGAGTAAAGGTCGACATAATTACAAATGGAGTTACATAGGCAAATGGATCTGCGAATGGGCTCATTGTTAGCAAAAATGTGTGTTTTCTCTTTGAAGCCTCCGGCGCATAAAAAGGCAGAAACAAAAGTAGTTCTGGGGAATCGATTTTGTTATCGCATATATCCTTGATGAAAAGAATACTAAAAAATGTTTCACCTATTAGCAAGGTATTGTAAATTCAGTATTCTGCATCTCAGTTCGTAAGATGGCAAGATTCATAGGAAAACATGCGTCCAAGGGCAAATTTAGTAAAACGCCTCTGAACTCTTTCTATGCGGACAGAGTGAGTGACAAAATCTGTGTCCCAAATAATGCACGCGCATTCCAAAATAGACCTCACCAAGCATGTAAAAAGACTTAAGTGTGAGTGAGTTGAACGCTAAATCGGCACCCTGAAATTGTGCATATGGAAACTGTGCATAAGAAAAAAACCGAAATAATGCATATATGCACAGTTCGGGTTGAAAACCGAAATAATGCATATGAAAAAAAAAAAAAACAAAGTAATGCATATGTATATGCACAGTTACGGTTGAAAACCGAAATAATGTATATGAAAAACCCGAAGTAATGCATACATGCACGGTTTCGGTTGAAAACCGAAATAATGCATATGAGAAAATACCGAAACTATGCATATGCATACATTCATTTTAAATGCGAAATAATGCATATGAAAAAAAAAAAAACCAAGCAATGCATACAAGCACAGTTTCGGTTGAAAATCGAAATAATGCATATGGCAAAAATCGAAGTACATGTCATATTTATGTGTGCTCGTTGCACATATGTACGTAGAGTTAAGCGATGGTTACACCTTAGGGTTAAGCCAAGAATGATAGAATACAAGATTGCGCCCACAGCATGATACAAAAAAGAAGGTAGTTTCATTTAATGACATTCGCTGTTGTTAACCATTAGACTTAATATAATTATGACGTTGCATCAATTTCATGCTACCTGATCACTAGAAGAATCTTTTTTTTTTTTAAGCAGAAGATTTTATCAGTACATTCAAAGATGTGGAATATGATGAACTAGAAAATTATGCCGGCTACATGATTTCGAAAATGGGGTTGACGACATCGTTCTGCAAAACCGCGTTACTGACATTTTTTGCCAAAAATTGGATTTGCTCACACAAACTCTTGGCTCAAACCTTATCCATTCGTTCTGAAATGCGACTTCTTTGTAAAAAATATAACCATTTTGAAATGAGTGTTTTTACTCTACAAAATAATATATGCAACCTCACATACGCAGTTGTGCATTTTGTTTATACACGGTTTTGTACTTTAAACGACGATCTGTTAGTTGTTTATCGGAGGGCGGTCTGTTCAAGCCAAATTCAGGTGTTTTGCATAAATTAAAAATTTGTGAAATTTAATGATGATGCGTTAATCACAAATCCAAATTTTTTGCAAAATCTGGTGAGAAATTTAAAAGTAAATTTGAATCAAAATATAAAAAGGTTTTCTTTGGGAAGAACAATCTTTAGTGCATACAAAAAACTATAAGGTTCCCTGGTATACCAAAGATCTTAAAAAATTGAAGAATTTGAAAAACAAGTTTTTTAAGAAATTTAAACTTTCAAATGCCCTATCTCACAAGGATAAATACTTGCGATACTCCAGAGAGTTTAAGTCGACGAGTAAGGTTCTTAAGCGGAATTATGTTCTTAAATTTGAGTCGGAAATAAAATTGAATCCGAAAGCTTTTTGGAGGTATGTCCAGTCCAAGAAATCGTGTTCCAGTATTCCCAGTGATGTGTTTTATCATGAAATGCAAGCTTCTACTCCCTCTGAAGCTGCCAATCTTTTCGCGGATTTCTTTCGCTCCAACTTTGTGAAAGATTCGGATCCTTGTGGCGGTTATCCTCAGAGTGCCCATTCTCCTATCAATTTTGGTTCGCTTGCTATTTCAATTGATGATGTTGAGGATGGCATCCGGCATATCAAATCTTCAACTCAATCTGATGTTGATGGAATATCGTCATTCTTGTTGAAGAATTGTCCTGCCTTTGCCTATCCACTTTTTTTGATCTTCAATAAATCGCTTGAACAGGCGGAGTTTATAGATTCTTGGAAGACCACTCTTATCACCCCGGTATTCAAATCTGGCAATAAAAACGATATAAGCAACTATCGGCCAATAGCAAAATTATCAACGATATCCAAATTATTTGAGTTTATTGTCAAACAAAAAGTATTTTTTGCTGTTAGTCCCTTAATATCTGTTAGTCAGCATGGTTTTATGCCTGGAAGGTCTACTGTAACTAACCTAGCTGTTTTTTACCGAATCCTGTTTAACTGCCTTTAATAACCGTCTGCAAGTCGATACCGTGTATACGGAATTTTCTAAGGCGTTTGACAAAGTCTGTCACTTAATATTAATTACAAAATTGGCTAGCATAGGCTTTCATTCAGCTTTTTTATCTTGGGTAAAATCATATCTTTCTTCGCGGAATTGTGTTGTTGTAGTTGACAATGTGTTCTCCTATCCTTTCGTCGCCTCCTCTGGAGTTCCTCAGGGGAGCATCTTGGGTCCCCTACTTTTCGTGATTTTCATTAATGATATTTCTAGTTGCTTCAACTTTTCAAAATTTTTATTGTATGCGGATGACTTGAAAATCTATTCTACAATTTCTAATGCTTCAGACTCATTCAATCTACAGGCTGACCTTAATAACGTGGTTGCTTGGTGTTCCAAAAATAGATTCAATTTAAATATAAAAAAGTGTTACCATGTCTCCTACTCCAAATCACGTTCCATTACCCAGACTTCGTATCTCATTGGTGACTCGCAGCTTGCCACCATTGGTGAAGTTTCTGACTTAGGAGTAATTTTTGATGCTAGATTTCTTTTTCACAGCCACTTAAATTATACCATTGCAAAGTCATATTCAATGCTTGCTTTTATCCGTCGATTTAGCTCGGACTTCACTGATCCATATGCCATAAAATTACTATACACTACTCCTGTTCGTTCTAAGCTCGAGTACGCTGTCTTCACCTGGCGACCTTATTATGAATGTCATATCAATAGAATTGAACGTATCCAAAACTCTTTTATTCGTTATGCTCTACGCTCTCTACATTTCGTTGACCCTTTCCCATCTTACACTGCTAAATGCGTGCTTATAAACCTTAAATCACTGCACAATAGGAGGATTATTCTTTCTCTTACTTTCGTTTTTGACATTATACGGGGTGCGATTGACTCGCCGTTCTTACTCGAACGGATTACATTTAATATCCCACCAAGAAGCCTTAGGAATCATGACATTTTTTCTCTGGATTTGGTCAGGAATAATCATGCGAATAACGCTCCTATTCGCAGAGCTCTAAACGAGTTTAATTCGCTCTTAAACTCTTCCGCTATCGATTTCTCTTCTTCCAAATCTAGTTTCAAACTACTTTTAAATAGTATGCTAAATTAGTTATTAATTTATATTTTGTTTTTTACCAAATAGTCTGTACGAAATGTTTATTTCTAGATTAAATAAATAAATAAATAAATTCGACTTTTAAATCGCAAGATTGCATTCAAAATAAGAAAACGAAAAAATTACAGAATAAGGCGCGCGTGGTTTTTATTACAAAATGAAAAGAAACATTACGATGAAGTCTCCTTTAACAGTATACATTTTAAATATTTTACACGCCGAAGCAAAAAAAGGAATTAGATCTACAAACGAACAAGGTCATCGAAATTCTAGCCAACGCAGGTTTAAAACTTAACAAAGATAAATGCGTATTCGACTCCAACAGAGTAAAATTTTTAGGACATCCAGAGAAAATAGAGTCTATCTATAAACTAAAACGCCTAGCAACAAAATCGAGCTCCAACGAATACTCGGTATGGCAACTTATCTATCCAAGTTCATACAAAATCTGTCGGAAAGGACTGCCCCCCTTCGTAGGCTACTGAAAAAAAGGTACAGATTGGTGTTGGGCACCTGAACAGGAAATCGCTTTTACCGAACTAAAAAACGGCGTTCGCTTCTACTCCGCTTCTGCGTTACTACGATACTAATCTAGACGTTAAACTTCAGGTTGACGCCAGAAAATCGAGCGTTGGCGCGGCACTATTGCAAAATGATCAACCCGTCGCATATGCATCCAAAGCACTGACGAAATCTCAGCAGAATTACGCCCAAATTGAAAAAGAAGCAACAGCAATACGCTTTGCATGCGAAAAGTTTCACAAAAAACTCGTAATCGAAACTGATCATAAGCCGCTCGAACCATCTTTAAAAAGCCGTTGCACTCAACATCGCTAAGGATTCAAAAAAATTCTACTCCATGTATTACCATACTCACCGTAAGATGTCTACCGAAAAGGCACTGAAATAAAACTAGCCGATACCTTCAGCAGGGATTGCGATAACCCCAGCAACGACGCAAAGGAGGATGAAATCGAAGTTCAATCGCTAACGGAACTCAGACCAACTACCAGAGAAAAGATAATTGACGAGACGAATCGCGACATCAAGTTGTAGGCGCTGAAGAATCAGATTTTGGAAGGTTGGCCATCAACCCTAACAGAAGTACAACAAGAATTACGCCCATACTAGAACATTCGTGAGCAACCGCCAACAGAAGACGGAATGATTCTCAAAGGGACGAAAATAATTATTCCAAAATCACTCCCAGTACACGACGGCCATCTGGGAATTCAACGCTGCCTAAATAGGGCAAGATCCACAGTATTTTGGCTAAAAATGCATAATGACATACACAAATTTATACAGCGCTGTCCCACGTGCCAATCGTATCAGCCCTCGAAGCCACGGGAACCCCTAATAATTAAACCAGTCCCAGACTTACCATGGGAAATAGTAGCTGTCGATTTATTCAATTTCCAAGGCGACACTTACCTCCTTATCGTTGACAGCTATTCAGGATTCTTTGATTTAGCCATCGCACATCAAACAACTACAACTAATATAATAAACATACTAAAGCCGTGGTTTTCCACACACGGCATACCATCAGTTCTTGAATCCGACAACGGCCCACAATTCTCATCCCAGGAATTTGCAGAATTTATGAACGCTTGGGGAATCAAACATCACACATCGAGTCCGAACTATCCACGTTCCAACGGCTTGGCAGAACGATACGTCCAAACAGCCAAATCGATGCTGGAGAAATGTTTTAAAGACAAATCAGACATTCACTTAGCACTGTTA